ACTCTCTCCCCTTTTCTTACGCCACCTGTTGCCTCTTGACTTAGTTTAGCAGATCGACTTGGAGGCTGCGTTCTCCAAGTGTTCAGCGTCCTATCATCCACGGAGCTGCTTACCGGAGCCGCAAGGAGTAGATGCACAGACCCAACGATTGAACGCGTACCCACACCGCGTTTTAGGGCACTCACCCGATTCAACTTGACACACCTCAGCCAATTTTGCAGCAAAACACTCCGAATTTAAAATGGATGAGCCAGGGAGAAAAACATCCAGTCCGCCATTGATGAGGTCGATCGCGGCATGTCTCAGGCTAAAGCGGCGGCTTTATTCTCCGTCAGACTCCGCGGCGCAAAGCCAGTAAAACACAGCAAAGTACACGCTCAACGGCTCGCTCCTTCGCAAGAAGACTACCTTACAGACTGGTGCTTAAATGAGGAAAAGGCTGGCCGTGCGCCAAGTCGCCGTCAGGTTGTGGCATTCGCTCAAGAAATCCTGCGCGAGGGTGGGGACCTTAAGTCCCTTGGACCAAGATGGATTGACTGCTTCTTGAAGCGCAATCCGCGCGTCCACACCAAGAATTCGACCTTGTTGGATAGCGCTCAAGTCCACGGATCTACTCGTGAGGCCTATGAGGACTTCTACGGCCGTTGAAGTACCAACTCAAATCCAAAGGCATACTACCGAAGAATATAGCCAATATGGATGAACACGGCATGCAGGAGCTCGAAACACGTGCAGGCAAAGTCATCGGCACCTCTTTGACAAAGGAGGCACTCGTTGAAAGCTCAGACGACACGACCTGGGTCTTTGTGATAGAGTGTGGCACCGCTGAAGGCCGGAGACTGCACCTGTATCGTGTTCACAGGCGCCAGTCTTCAGGGGCAATGGTTCCCCTCCGAGGAGGAATTGAAGCGCGATTTTCCAGGCTGGCAATACGACTACTCCCTTACAGGCTGGAGCAATGGCGATATCGCTCTCAAATGGCTGCAGCAGATCTATCTGCCAGAAACCAAACCAACAAATCCGTCAGAATGCAGGCTCTTGATTCTTGACGCGCACTCAAGCCATATCACGACTCGGTTCATGTATCTGGCCTGGATTAAGCGCGTTCAACTACTTTACCTGCCGGCTCATACATCCCATAAGACTCAACCTCTCGATCGGAGTGTTTTCTCGCCCCTGAAGAACAATTTCAGGCAAAATACCAAGTCTATGGTTCACTTCACGGCGTCAGCTCCCATCAATAAACGCCGCTTCCTTTATTGTTATCGAGATGCCTCCCAGAGAGGTATGAGCGCCAGGAACATCGTCAGCGGCTTCAGAGAGACCGGAATCTGGCCGTTGAATCCGAGCAAAGTACTGGATGACACCACGGCAGTACTTCAACCTAGAGCCCCCCCTGCCACGCCGCCCACCCCAGAGGAACGGCCTCCCTCGCCTACCAACATATATCTGCAGACTCCCCAGAAGTCACAGGATATTCGCAGAGCCTTAAAAAACGCCAGGGAGCGCGTATCTCCAGACAATCGCATGCTGAGGTCTGTTTTATACAAGGTTGGCAAGTCGTTGCACTCGAAGAACGCCGAGGTCGCCAGCTTGCGCGCTCAAATCAGAGAGCTATCTGGCCAGTTGGAAGCCCACAAGCCAAGTAGTAAAAAGAGGGTCAAAGCGAGTGCCAACGATGCTTTTGCGAAGATTCAAGAGATTGTGGCGGCTCAGAAAGATAGTGAAAAGCCACCAAAGCGGAGGAAAACGACAAAGACAGTCGACCCGGGGCCAGCCGTTGAACAAGCGCAAGACATGATTGTACATGGGCTGGATCGCCTTCGTCAGGCTGAGGAGATGTAATTTGCACTTTTTCCTACATGGATTGCTATACAAATGAGTGATCAGACATGTTGCTGTGCGGTGTGAGGGATGCAGGATCATCAACAATCGTTGGGTGCATTCAATCGTTGGATCTGTGCGTCTAGGCGGACCGGATTCTGAACACGATCAAGGATGGGTATTCGCCGGCGAAGAACCCTGAGCACACAGCGGCAGCCTGGCGATTTGGCAACATAAACAGCGGCTTCCGGACAAACGTTAGCTTCCTTTTTAGCAATTATATGGATGGATGGATGGATGGATGGAATTTATTTCGCCCGGAGGCACGAAGCCTAAAGGGCCTTGGCACGCTAACTACATCCGATTCGTTGACGTTCGGTCATCAACTCGTACAAGCCCTCTACTCTCTCCCCTTTTCTCACGCCACCTGTTGCCTCTTGACTTAGTTTAGCAGATCGACTTGGAGGCTGCGTTCTCCAAGTATTCAGCGTCCTATCTTCAGCAGCTAAAGCGGGATCTGCTGGCTGAGGCTGTGTAGTGTTAGTGGAGTTCCGCTACTGTGATTGTCCCAATCTTCGTTGTTCCTCTTCAAGATCCAATCTCCCTGTCGCCATTGCGTACTTGATCGTTGCCCGGACTGCTTTCATGTCTGGCGACCACATCTTTGGATCCGATGGTGCTTTCCCTCCCAGGTAGAATGAGAGGCTCCCTCGTCTTGCCACCGTGCATTGCAACATGTCCTCCCTCAGAGCTTCCCATCTCACGCATCGCAATAGAAAATGTTCCACGGTTTCCCTCGCTCGGCCGCAAGGACAGAGGTCCGACTCGACCGCTCCGATTCGGCTTAGAAAGCCGTTCAGCCTCGCCATTCCAGTTCGGAGTTGTGCCAAGATACAGGCTTCTTTTCGTTTCAACTTGTCGTAGAGATCACGAGTGTGCTTGCCAGGAAGTGCTACGTCCAGATCCTTTGAGAATTTGCCTACGCCTTCCGGGAGAGCTCTCCCCTGTCGTTGTTTGACCAATGCCAGCCTGATTGCGGTGGACTTGGCTTGGGGCATTTGGAGGTTGGGTATCTGTCCTTGCCTCGTTGTCCTTTGCGCTGCCGCCTTGGCCTGTAGGCCCAACGCAAAGTTGGCTTCCGCTGGGATCCACAGGAAATCGACCGAGTTCCCTCTTTCTTGGTGCAGTTTAGCCAACTTGTAAATTTGCCGTATAGTGCCTTGGCCAGACTGTTGTCGCGGTTGCCTAATTGCTATTAGCGCTGACTGGTTCCTGGTGACGATGGTGATGTGCCTATGGCAGGCGTTGTAAGAACATTATCAAATCATGTGCCACCTCCTCTAGGTGCTAAGCACAACGCCTTCATACGCGCCCAAATATCATGAAGGCGCATTTTACATGACTGAGCACAGGCGATGCCTCCACGACACATCCTTCCGCGTCCCGTCGGGCGAGTATAGGGCCAGTTGAGCTGCCGCCTTGAACACGTCTTGCACTCCTTTCACCATTTTTGCCGAGCACTCAGCATAAGCGGCTGCGCCGATGTATCTTGCCGCAGCCAGCCCTTGCTGGTAGCTCACAGGCTTTTGGTTCGTCGTCGCGAGCTCTCGGATTGTCCCAGGATGGTCCCTGAGGTCTTCCTTCAACCCGACCAGCACCGTGGGTGCATCCGGACAGTAGTGCGTGGATTCGCTGACCCACAAGGCACAGGCCTCTTCCAGCGAGCTCGGCCGGTCGATGGCGAAGGCGAGAATGACGACACGAGTGTCGGGGTACGACAGCGGGCGGAGTCGGACGTAGTCCTCGTTCCCCGAAGTGTCCGTCAAGGCCAGTTCCACGTGTTTGCCGTCGACCTCGGTATCCGTGACGTAGGACTCAAAAATGCCTGGCCTGAAGTAGTCGTCGCCGAACCACCTACCATGGGCGAAGGTCATGAGGGCTTCGGTCTTGCCGCATTTCCAAGGCCCTACCATGATCAACTTTTGCCGCACCGTGTCCTCCAATATTGGCCGTGGCTTGGGTGCGTTGAGCCAAGTGGTATGGGTTGCTGGGAAACTTGTTCCCTGCACGTTTGCAGCAGCCAGCTGCTCGGCGGCTGTGTCGAGGCGGAAAATGCCCGGCGGGGGTGTCGACGGAGTTTGAGACGGAATTTTGGTCTTCTCTGGGGTTGGGGGGGGCTTCTTGACCCATACCCAATGTTTTCGATGCTCCAGGTATTCTTCCAGATCCTTGATGGGTTCAAGAAAGCTGCCTGGTGCCCATCCGTGCTGACCGTTGCCTCCCAAGACGTACCACCAACCTGGGACAATCAATGTTAGTGAGCATGGAGTTCACGAAGACCGCATGTAACCAATCTTCTCCGGGGCTTACCGTTTGGGCGCTTTTGTTTGACTCTTAACACGGAACCAAAGCGGAGGGTCAGCTCCCCCTTGGATCGGCTCCGATAGAATCCTTGAGAAGCGTAATACCAACCGGTCTCTTGGGAGGCTTCGGCTTGAGACTCCATGCCTTTGAGGAGCCCGTTGTTCTGATGGCTCCTGCCAGTTGTGCTCAAGCGATGGTAACGAGTTGGACAAAGACGAAACTCTTGACCGCTCCTCCCAGAAATATGAATTTCAGCTTGCGGTGCGGCTGAAGCAGGGCTTAGCAGGCCAAGAAATAGGACCAGTAGGACTGTACCAATAGAGTACCTTATCGACCTAGGACACCGCCACAGCCCAACGCAGACAGGAACCCGACCAGCCAATACCTAGGCCTCATCGCGGCGCTTTCTCAGATCTGTTGTTTCTAAACTCCTCCAAGCTGAATTCATCACCCACCGTGTCTGTCCTAGGGCAGGAGCTCAACGAGCTCAAGCGGATCGATCTGTGCGACTGGAGAAACCTGACACAAGTACCTACCTGAATGGAATACCACGTCGTTGAGTCGTGGCTATCGGAGTAACGAACTCCTTGGCGCGTGCTGAAAGGATGGAAGGTCCAGCAGTGTGTTGCTGTCAGGTTGCATTAGTCGGGGAATCGCTATAGAATGGAAATCTCGTTACACAGCAGGTGCAGTGCTGGAAGGTGTCTGAAAGGTCTCGCACCACACTGCAGGACTTTTGCCGTGCGAAGTGGCTGGACTAGGAACGACCCCAGTTTTGATGCCTTCCGCGGTAAGCTTATGTCCAAGGGCAGCTCCCCGGCGCCAAGAGAGGACATGCTTGGAGCAGGGAAATAAGGGTCATGATCGTGGGGTAACTTGCCATAGCAGGGCTCCGCAACCCCCAAGTTTCCCCGCAGTAGCATTCCGCTCTACCTGCCGGAAGCCTTCACCTCTCAAGCCTTTCCATCTCTGGAAATGGTGATCTCGCTAACCTGGTTTGCCGAGGGTCGGCTCCTCAGGACGGCAAGCAACCTAGATAAGCCTCTGGCGCCCGGAGTACCAAGGTTAAAGATCGAGGCAACCTGTCCAGAAATGAGCCAAAAGGAACCCTAAGGTCTCGGCGGATACGCTCCGTACAGTCGTCACCATGCGCGCCATTCTGTACACCGGGTTGCTCTCCTCACTCGCGGCGGCCACGCAAAACGCGCAGCAGCAGTGCTCCAAGCTAGCCAAGAAGCTCGACATCGACAATGCCACCGTCTGGTTCACCGAGTATGTGTCGGCGGGCACAAACATGTCCTTCCCGGATGCCCACCCGACCTGTACTCAGGGGGCCGTGACCGTGGGCGTCGACTTTTGCCGCGTCGCCCTGTACGTCGCCACATCAAACCGGTCGGGCATCAGCATGGAGGCGTGGCTGCCGAGCAACTGGACCGGCCGCTTCCTAAGCACGGGCAACGGCGGTCTTAACGGCTGTCTCTCGTACAGTGACATGGCCTACACGGTCGAGCTCGGCTTCGCGACCGTCGGCGCCAACAACGGCCACAACGGCACCAGCGGCGCGCCCTTCCTCAACAACCCCGACGTTGTCGAGGACTTCGCCTATCGGTCCGTCCATACCAACGTCGTGATTGGCAAGCAGATCTCAAAGGCATTCTACAGCAAAAAGCACACCAAGTCGTACTACCTCGGTTGCTCGACCGGCGGCCGCCAGGGGTTCAAGTCGGCCCAGTCGTTCCCCGAGGACTTTGACGGCATCGTGGCCGGCGCGCCCGCCTTCAACTTCAACAACCTGACCTCGTGGTCGGGCCACTTCTACCTCCTCACGGGAGCCCCCGGTTCACCAACCTATCTGACCCCAGCCCAGTGGACCGCCGTGCACGCCGACATCATGACCCAGTGCGACGGCCTGGACGGCTACCTCGACGGCATCCTCGAGGACCCGCAGTTGTGCCACTACCGCCCGGAGTCGCTGATCTGCCCGCCCGGCACCCCAGCCAACACCAGCACCTGCCTCACCGGCACGCAAGCCGCCACCGTCCGCGCCGTCTTCTCAGACCTCCACGGCGCTAACGGCGCCTTCGTCTATCCGCGCATGCAGCCCGGCACCGAGCTCCTCGGGACGCCCTACATTTACTTTGCCGGCCAGCCCTTCCCGTACACGACCGACTGGTTCCGGTACGTCGTGTACAACGACCCCGCCTGGGACCCGGCAACGCTGGGGCCGGCCGACTACGCGCGCGCCGACGCGCTCAACCCGTCCGACATTCGCACCTGGTCGGGCGACCTGAGCCGGATCCGGGCGCGCGGGGCGAAGATTTTGCACTGGCACGGCCTGCAAGACCAGATCATCACGAGCGAGATCTCGCCGCGCTACTATGACCATGTCGCAAGAACCATGGGCCTGCCGGGCAGCACGCTGGATGAGTTTTACCGGTTTTTCCGGATCTCGGGTACGGGCCATTGCCAGGGTGGGCCTGGCGCGAGTTTTATTGGGCAGGGGAGGTCGGCGGTGGCTAGTCTGGATCCGGAGCAGAATGTTTTGATGGCTGTGGTGAGGTGGGTGGAGCAGGGCAAGGCGCCGGAGTCGATTCTGGGCAGTGCGGTTGTTAATGGCACGGTGGTGTACCAGAGGAGGCATTGCAAGTATCCGTTGAGGAATGTGTATACTGGCAAGGGGGATCCGAAGCATCCCGATAGTTGGAAATGTGTGTAGATAGGTACGTGTAGCAATCTTGAGGGGTGGTTGATGCATGAGCGTCGGCTTTGTGCTTGGAGACAGACTATTCAAGTCTGAGGGGTCTGTTCAGATCCTGCCATGCTCAGGAAGGACCCTCAGCTTCTGTCGATGTCTTGTGATACAGTTCGGAAAAGAGCGACATGTTGAAGGGGGGGTGTATCAGCTACGCACAACGTGCCCGTGTGTTTACAAAAAGTCAAGAACTTTCCAATCTTACACCGCAGCTTTAACCCCTGAACTCCCTCTACATGATGTGATGACCACCGGGCAACTCTTTCAGCCCTAGCAATATTTTATCAGCATCCCATATCTTCAAAAATAGCAGGATAGTACTCACAGCCGTTGTTGTCCTCTCTGACTACGGTTTTGACGGTGCACTGGTTGGCCTTGTTGAAGCCCTGAGTCGTCAGGCCGCGGCAGGTCGGCCCGAAGCAGCGGTTGTCCATGGCGTGCTGGAGAGTATTGTCCTTCCACCCAAAGACGTAGTCGCCGTGTTGGCCGTATCCGGTGCTGTTCGTTAGAGTCGGTTAAGGCAACTCAATATGGGAGGGTCATAATTAGAAGGAATCTAGGGGTTGAGAATTTGGAAGGGATTGATGGAACAGGATCAGGCTGTAGAGACCATAAAGGGTGCGTGACCATGTTCAGGGGGTGACTCACGGATCGCCGGTTGACAGCACAAACGGCTGCGAGCCGGCCTCGGGCCACTCTTCCTTGTTGTTGAATTTGGTTGTGTCCCAGACGATCTTACGGTGTCAGCTTCAGCCCACCCTGACAACCCCTGAGAGCGCATCGACAAACCTCATAGTGCACCTGCGGGATCTTGACCGGATGCGTCGACGGGCACTTGCCGTCGACCATGGCAAACGAGGCGGGACCGTCAACAGGGTGAGCCACATGATCCATGTGATTAGGCGAGTCGAGGTTCTTGCCGTCCCAGCAGCTGCATAGCATCATCACCTTATCAGCAAAGTGATCCGGGATGGACAAGCGCTCGTTGCAACATACATTGGAAAGATCACGCTGGACCGGATCCCGCCCGGGCACGGGGTTTGGGGCAAACCCTCGGTGTCGCGCTGCAGGTCAAAGCATGGCGAGTATGTGTTTCCGCCAAAGTTGGGTCCTGTGTAACAGCGGAAGCAGCTCTGAACTTTGCGGCCGAGGTTGGTGGGCGTCCGGCGGGCGACGTCGCCAGAGAACATGCGGAAGCCCTAAATACGGGTACACGTTAAGCTCGGTCCCGTCCTGCGTGTATCGACTGGGGATTTCCAGGGGCTGACGCACTGGCTTGAAAGCGGTGACTGTGTTTGGTCCTGGCGCAGTGTAGTACACTGTTATGCCTCCGTTGGCAGCGCCAATCTGGTCGTTGACCATCTGCGGAACGCGCTTGAAGGTGCCGTTGCGGGCGCGGAAGTAGACGTTGGCGGTCCAGTAGTTGGATAAGTCCTGGTCAAAGGTGCATGACGTGCACGAGGCGAGCTTGGAGATGTCGGTTACGGGCATCGAGGCGTTGAAGGCGTTCTGTTCATGTCAAAAGGTGGTTTTATGGGGCTAGCGGTGAGCACTTACACCTCCCACATCTGATGCACATGGGCAGATGGGATGCTACCCGGTTCGACTAGGCTACCAAGGAGACGAGTTAGGATTCCCGAATTTCCATTCTCTTGAGGGCTTGGGCGTACGGGTCGATTCGGTCGATGACAATCTGAGAGCAGCCGAACCGCAGCATGGTGGTGCTGAAGCCCTGCGCCTGGACGGCGAGGGGCATGGACAAGAGTCCCAGCCAATGCATGATGTAACTGGATTTGGGCCAGACTTATTGGGTAACCCAAGACAGCCTGAGAGTAAGAGAATCCGTGAAGCGTTCAGTTAAGATGTCCATACCTGCCAAAAGAGCCCAGCGGACTAGGCCGCAGCGGGTCGCTGCCATCCCTTAAATATGTCCGGGGGCTAGGTACATCACATGCCGAGATGTGCCGTGTTCGGAACAGGAACATAAACGCAGGACACCAAATGCCGGGCTGCGATAGACAGCTAATGGGGTTGACATTAATATAAATGGCATCCAACCTATCAGATGTTTCCGCTCTGATGATTTCTTCATCCCGTGCATTTTCCCGGATGGACAGGGCAGGACGAAGGCTCTGCAGAGGTGATATCACGGCGAAGCTATACCTGGAACGCGTTGGAGCCGACGAAGCGGCATTCATATAGGTGCTCACATGATTAGTCGTTAGAAAGAGAGCTCGTTTCCATTGCATTCCGGCCCGAATTCATTGACATAATCTCAGTGGATCGGCAAGTCGATAAGGGAGTCGCAGACATCGGGTACATAGGTAACTATTAGGATGATGTTCATAGATCGACAATGATGGAAGATTCGGTTAGAACATCAAATGTCCGGTTTTACTTGGCAAGGATGGATGCTAATAGTCATGTATTCTCGGACGAGACATGCGAGGACACAGGGGCCTCGATGTCCATCATGGTGCTAAGCAGTGGTATAATGTGTATGGAGAACTAAGATACGTACTATACCTTGAGATTCCCAAGGAATTTAATGAGACCTCGCGCTATTTGATGTTTGGGGCTAACGCGGGCGTATACTCCCAAAAACCTTACCCTCGGGCCACGCATGTTTCTAGAAAATTAGTACAGAAACTTGACGCTACCTAGCTTACCTTGGTGACGGAGTTATAGACTTGGGCCGGTCCTCCTGAGCATATTCCTATTGATACATGTACAGTAAGTATCCCCATCAGCGCGATCCAGCGAGTCTCTGAGAGCACTTGCAGCTGTTGGACACGTACACAACAAATCAGTGTCTTTCGTCGTAGCGACTTCACATCGGCCCTTCCCTAGTAAGTCCGAGCCCAATCAACCTCGTATGTTGCACAAACAAAGTGAAGAATCTCTCTTGAAGCGTTCACAGCAAAATTTCCCAGCGTTTTTGGCTGCCAATGTGATCCAGTCTTTATATTAACCCTCGCCTTGCCTAGCTTGTCTCGTGGTACCGGCTCGCACTAAAGCCGTCCATCTCGGATTTGCTCACATTAGCGAGGACCCCCCATCCAAAATGATGCTGTGTATAATTCACCACAAATCCCTCTGGAGGGGTTACGTCTGGCCTCCCATTCTCTGCCTTATATCAAACCTGGATAACTATCCGGTACCTTAGTCATTCCATTTTTCACCATGTATTGGTCTGTGATGATCACGATGTTCGCTCTCGGCCTCACAGTGGCCCAGAAGGTGGGAACCGTGCAAAGCGAAATCCACCCCAAACTCCAATGGACCCGATGTGCCGCCGACGAAGGCTGTGCAAAGATCGACGGTGAACTGGTCATGGACGCCAACTGGCGATGGATTCACAAGGTGGACGACATTGAGAGCTGCTACTGGGGCAATCGGTGGGATGAACGGGTCTGCAGCAGCGTGGAGGACTGCACCAACACATGTGCCCTCGAGGGTGCGCAGTATGAGCGAGCCCAAGGCGTGACGACGGCCAACGGCAGCGTGACCCAGAAGTTCAGGACAAATCATGATTTTTCGTACAACATCGGCTCCAGGCTCTTCCTCCTCGAGTCTAAAGACCGATATCAGATGTTCACCCTGCTGAACCATGAGCTGGCCTTCGAAGTCGACTTGTCAACGGTGGAATGCGGCATCAAGAGCGCCCTGTACTTTGTGCCTATGGACCCGGACGGCGGCCAGGCGCAATATCCAACAAACCAAGCCGGGGCCGAATACGGGACAGGATACTGCGATGCCAACTGTCCACGGAACCTGAGATATGTCGGGGGAGAAACCAACTCGGAAAGCTGGTTTCCCTCCGAAACTGACGAGTTCTCGGGCACTGGGCGCTTTGGGGCATGCTGCCCACAGTTCAGCGTCTGGAACTCCAACGCCCACTCCTTCTCCATGTCGTCACACGTCTGCCCAGACGATGCCTCAACTATATGTGACCATTTTCAGGGGACCTGCGATCACTACACACAGTACCCGGACGACAGGAAGAAATGCGACCTCTGGGGGTGCAGCTACAATCCCTATCGCATGGGCAATACTGACTTCTATGGGAAGGGGAAGAAGGTGGACACAGCGAGGAAGTTTACGTAGGTTCTCCACTGCGCGCGGTGGCACTTACAGTCATAGTTGAATGGCTGACCTTCCTGTCAGTGTTGTCACGCAGTGGAACGGGACCAGAGTCACGCAATTCTTCGTCCAGGACGGCCGGAAGATTGAGATGCCTGCTCCCGTTTGGGACGGACTGCCGAAGGAAGCCGGGCTATCGGCCGATATGTGTCAGAAACAACGTCTAGCGTTCGATGAACGAGATCACTTCACTGAGAATGGAGGCTGGAAGGCCCATCAGCGGCAGTTGTTGACCCAGCCCATGGTCATGGTACTATCGATCAACTCAGACGTGAGTTTCCCTGTATTCTACGCCTTTCTTTCCCGGGGGGAACGGGGTCTCTCTGCTTTTCTGGATAGCAGTGTACATACTCACCTTACTCTTATCTTTAGCATTTCACCTGGAACCTCTGGCTCGACTCAGATTTCCCACCCGAGATTCCGGACGGTGCCCCTGGCAAAAAGAGAGGTGACTGTCGTTTTGAGGACAATGACCCGATCGTCGTCAATAACAGATATCCCAAGGCGTAAGTCACTACCTGATTTTTTTGCTGTCCTCTGCCCGATTGGACTGACAGAACTCCGAGGACACAGCGAGGTGGTTTGGTCGAATATCCGATTCGGCCCCATTGGGACTACCATCAACGTCTGAATCGCTCGTCGGACAAGTTGACCAACTAGACGAGGACACCCAGACATTCCAGAAAAATATTTCGACCTGATCGTTGAGGCTATGGAGTATCATCGTCCTTCTTAGTGTCCATCCTCCCAAGCTTCCGTCGCATTATCGGTTTACATTAGGGACGACGGCGGTTTCTACCTACGATAGGTCTTGATACACATCCATGCTACAAGCTTTGCTAATAATTTGAGTTCAATTAAAAGTATTGGATTGCAGTTTCGGAGCACCCTTCTCAAACCGCCAACCATTAGTGCCGAGGGGCCTCGGAGTTTGGTCGCCCTTAGTGCAGACCACTGAGCCGGACGCGTCAGCTTCTCCAAGGGACCGAGCGAGTCAAAAGCATCTTCAACACCCTGTGTTACCGAGTCCTGTCGGTTCAGCTAACCAAATAAAAGACGATATAAACCCCTTACGCTTCCTTACTGTCCGACAGTTTCCCACAGATACATACCACGCCCCAATCCTCACCACCTTTTCACGCCCATTACCATCCAACATGTCCCTCCTCACGACCGTCACTAACCTCTTCCCCGCACTCTTCACCAACCCAGCACCATACCACCTCCTCTGCTACTCCACCCTCCTGGGCACCTCCCTCTACCAAACCTTCGTCAACACCAAAATCTGCTACATCTCCCTTCCCCGATCCGCATTCACCACTCTCCAGAAACGCCTCTTCCCAGTTTACTTCTGGTGCCAAGCAGCATTGCTCGTCCTGAGCGCCGTTACCTTCCCTCCGCACGGTCTTGTGTCCCTAGTGCGATATAAAACGGACTGGATTCCGTTCGCCCTCGCATTAGGTACGGCGGTGTTGAATCTGGGAGTTTATGGGGCCCGGACTGCTGTAGCGTTGGTTCAGTGTGTCCATCAAGGTTTGTACTCACCGTCACTAGGCAATCATCAGTCGTATGGGATGTTCAGTTGTGGTGAGTATGCTGACGTGGGGAATTCGGGACAGAAACGCGTGATGCAAAGGCCAAGGCCAATGGGACCTTTGTTGACGCAGGCCAGGGGGTCTCGGTGGAAATGAAGAAGTTGAGGAGGGCGTTTGCGAGGAATCATGCCACGTGTATCCACCTGAACCTGCTCTCGATCGGGGCCATGGTGGTTTATGGGTGGCGGTTTGCCGGGAGGATGGCGGTGGATGCAGAGTAGGGGGTGGCCGTGGCCCGCGGTTTGCACTTGAATCGCGGCGGACTAGGCTTGTATCGCTCTATGGGTACTTTCCTTCGGTTAGTGAAGAGTTTAGCTAGTTCTGCGTAAGCACAACAGGAGATGGGTTGACGTGATGTAGTGGGATCGGGGCAGGGAAGACAAATGCATAGAGAGGGAATTGGATAGAGATAGTCAGAGACGGTTTGCGTCTGCTCGCTCCTAGTAATGCTCAATTATACCTCTATCTCGAGTACCAGGTGCACATGTAAGGTACATGTACTCTAAGGACGGATCAAGCAGTCTCCCTCCCCAAGGCCACAGTCGACCTCTCGAACTCATCCAACCATATCCATGACAAAAATCAGGCGACATTTTTTGGTTCTCAATGACTCGCTGTCTACTTCAGCGATTTCTTCTTGAGCGCTTTCTTCTTGACCCCCTTCTTGAGCGCTCTCTTCTTGAGCCGAAATCCGCCCTGCCTGATCTGGTCGAGGACCTCCTCCCACCTCCGCCAAATTATCCTCCTACCATGACAATTGACAACGTGTTGCCGAAGACTGTCGCTTGACCACAGGCGGCTGGCGTGGGACCAGAAGTGGGTTGCCGGGCAGCCGCCGAGCCCGTCCTTCCTCGCTTGCTCCACGATTTCCGCCGGTAACACGCTGTCCATGAAGCACTCCAGCATGTCAATGCACCCGCGGCACCATTGTCCGTATTCCACACGTCCGTCTGGGCCGACAGAGGGGAAGCGGACATGACTCAGGCCGACCGTGAGGGCTGATTGGAAATCTGCATCGGCAATGTGCGGGAGCATATACTCCGGATCTATCGATGGATATTCTTCTTCGGCTGAGTCATCTAATGAATTAACTTCGTATGGCAACGTCTCCTCGGCCCAGAAGCAAAAGGGGTTGGTCCTCTCGAACCTCCAGAATTCCATGGGGTTGGTGCAAGTTCCGAGCCGCAGGGCTAACTCCCTTGCTTGCATGACGCTGACGAATACATACTCGTCGGCGACTGGAATGGTCATTATGGCCTGGTGGGTTACGCGTTGAGGATCCGCGTAGTAGTCGCCTCTGATCGCGACCAAGGCCGGGAGGGTTGCAACTTTGTCCTTGCTTAGGCCGAAATAGTCTGCGACTTGGTCTGGAAGAGCGAGAGCAAACGCCAGCTTCCGGCTCAGGCAATTGCCACAAGCCCGCTCACAGGTCGGCAGAAAGAGGAACGCGGCGACCTGTTGGCACAAGACGCACTGCGAAGACCGTAGCGCCTTGCTAAGCTGGGCAGCTGAGTGATATGGGAGTAGCTCGGTTTTCGTAAGCACCGCCAAAGGCCCCGCGGCGTGTTTCATGACGATCCTGTAAGCCGGTAGATTCAGGACGACGCTGTTGGCTCGCAGGGAAACGCGCGAAAGTCGGGAGAGCGACGGGAAATCCAGAGATTCGAGGATGTTGAGAAATAACTCCACCGGGAGGTTGTCGAGCAGGCCAAGGCGCTGGTGTGGTGCGCTGGGACGAGAGACGCAGTAGAAGGGTTCGCCGATGGCTTCATCATCAACATGTCGTAGAAGGCCGAGCCATCCCCCGATTCCTAATCGTACCGCGGGTATAACTCCATGGCACAAACGCGCTGGACGAATCGGATCTCAGCTCCATTGTTTCTGGCTGCCATGATTGTTTCGTGCTGCGCCAAGACTGCCCTTCCGGGGCCCTGCGGCCAAGTTGGGATCTCGAAGGGCATCGGAAGTTGAACGTGAATTGATAGCCAGGCGCACTTGAGAGTGTACAGGGAGCTGCGCGGCAAGGAAATGCATGCGAGAAACGGTGAGAACGAAAACTGTTGTTGTGATACAAGTCGTCATTTACCTACTCAGGTCGGTCATGTGGTGAGAAAGAAACCAAGATCAGTTCAATGCTCCTCCTCTCTAAGGCGGATATCTACCGCTCCTGCCCTTCCAAGTGCGAGCCGCTTGCGTTAGGGAAGCTGCAGACAGCTCGTGCGTGAAACCCAAAATAACCCAACGCAACACGGGAGAGGGCAACAAATCTTCCTTCCTGACCGAACTACATCGGCTACACCACATCCGCAACCCCTCACCACATATCGAGGTACGTTATCAAGTATGTACCTGCACATCATTCACGGACCCATCCCCGTCCCCAGCGTCCACCGTGATCGCATCAACAGCAAAATCATCATCATCCGGCAGCCCATCCCCCAAAGGCACTGTCTCCTCCCAGCTCCACCCCATTCCGCCCTTCTTCGTCTCCTCCCACTGGCGCAACACCGCGTCATTCCCGTTCAACGCACCATCACCGTGACCGTCAACAAAGTCAAATATGCGGTAATCGGCATTCATGTAAAAATGGCCCGTGACAGCGTGCTTCAGAAACCCCGAGTGCGAGACCACGATGACGGCCTTCTCTGGCCGGTCGCGCAGCTCGCGCAGGACGGTCTGCCCCCGGTGGACAACGGCCTGCCGCGAGTACCTGTAAAAGGCTCCCGCCGGGGAGGTCTTGTCGGGAAAGACCGGGTCGACGTGGGAGAAGTCGACTTGGGGGAAGAGAGGGGGAAGGGAAGCGAGAGGGGAGCCGACGTCGCAGGGTTTGGCTGAGGTTTCTGTTTTTTGGAATCAATCATGCCATCGTTTAGCTCGGCGATTCATGAAATGAAGAGAGCCTGGGCATACCCTGCCAACCGGCGTGCGCAACGATCGGTATTCCCCTGTCGATAAGCTCACCAAACGCTAGCAAAGCCGTCTCAAGAGTCCGTTTCATCGGGCTGACGATGATGAGGCCCACGTCAAGGTTCTTGGGTATCCTCGGGATAAGTTGCTCCTTCAGCTCTGCACATTGTTTCCGCCCAAGTTCGGACAGCTCGGGGTCGTGGAGAGTGTAGTCTTGTGGGGGTTGTTAGTGAAAGATTGCTACGAACGGAAGCGTTGAGGTGAGACTTATTGTCGACGTTGTGCAGAGCCTGCGCGTGGCGGACGAGTATGAGTGTGGGTGGCATTGCGAGAACTGTAGAATGGTACGTGCTTGACACTTGAATGCGAAGAGCCTAAATTAAAGAGCTTGACAGATACATTGAGGATCGCTGTTGAGTTTTTGACTCACTTGGCCGGTGCCGGCGCCAGGTTGCAGTGTTTGCCGGAATTGTGGATCACCATCTTGAGCCCCTGGCGTATTAGGGTTAGGGTCTCTGAGCGGGACATTCGTCGCTTGGGTTTAGACTATTGCCGGACCAGCCCGAAGCCCCGAACGGGATTCTGCCAGTGAGGAACTGCAGATCTAACGCTCATCGAATCAAAACCATATCCAACACGAACTGCAGGTCCTAGAAAGCTGTGAGTTCAAAAGATAGAGGCACTATAATCATGGGCAGGGTGGTGCTTACGTCCAAAGTCCCCGATGTTCCATCCTGCGAAGCACCATCCAGCGTGATCTTGGCCAGGCTCCGCTTCCGCTTCTGGATTTGTACGATGTTCCATCTAGAGTTAGCAGGCGATCACGCTGAGCTTGTCCCCGAGCTTTAAAACTGACTTCTTCAACTAAGTCCTTGACCACGTAATCGGATGATCGTAACGGCCCGTGTTTGGCGCAATAGCTTGCTCTTCGACCGAGGGATACCACTGAGCTTCGGCGATGTGCACGTAGTTTGCCGCTGTGCGGTTGAGTCTCGCGAGGCATAAGTGATTGTCTTGTGCACAGTAAAACGAGTGCTTACCCAACAGCGCCAGTCTGGGCGTGATCAAAAGGATCAGCACGTCGGTGGTTCTGAACTCCTCGAGGATGTGGAGTCTTCCGGCGTAGCTGACATTGCCGTCTATTCTTAGACACCTAACTCCTAGGTGCTGTTGCAGAAGATTCAGCATCGTGATCCAGGACGAGAGTACAACGCTAGTCAGGGGAGATGGTTAGTTGCGGCACTAGCCTAGGACGTAAGTGATCGGTGATCGGTCTTGCCTCTTCGATCCAAGCTCGAGCTGACTCAAGCGGATGAGTACGGCATGGACCTTGCTCGAGATTCCCATCTCCAATGACTCGTTGACGGTTGGACTGCTGTTTAGGGACAGCATTCGTGTCTAGGGGTAGGTGTCATCTACCGCGTTCCCTTGGAATTCGAGCACCAGGAGCACTGACGCCGTCAATTGCACCTGTTCATAACTGCTACCTGCTCTATGAAACCCCTCTTGACAGTCGGACCATACAGAGTCATTCTGGCCCAACTGTCTCGTCTGTTTATCATGTATCTCGAAGCCTCATGGAAGCACGCACAGATTCTAGACGTCTAGTTCCTGTAAATGTCGGCATAGAGGAACAAGCTTGTGACAAACAACGGGTTTGGTGGCAATGAAGGTGTTGCACCGTGTTGGAAGCAATGCTTCGAGTCTTATGGATGTCAAGCAAGTTTTAGATTGTCGGCGGCGGTGTTGCGTCAAGGGTCTGGCCAAGCGCTGTTGGTGGTTGTTAGAGGGTCGCCGTCAGCGCTTCCCATCAAGGAAGCTGGTTTCCGTTTGAGGAACACGATAAGTGCGTAATTTCACATTGTCTGTGACAAACGTGATTCTTGACACTTCAATTTTTTGCCGTCTCCTTCATTTTGCTATGAAGTCGCGAGACCCGCCGCGAGGCACGGAGTACTTTACTCTTTCTTAAACTTCGTCTCGTCGGACAGTACCTGAGTACCGACGGTTGTCAGTCGACGTGGTCCCGGTGTCCCTTATCGCATTGTTTGACTCCGGCCCACACACACAGGTAAACCAACCTCCGAGTCCGCGATTAAAAGGGGAAAACAGTACGGATCCGTAGAAAAATGTATCACAGCCAAGCACAAAGGCGCTATGCCATTGGATGTCGTATTCTCCGTACCTTTTCCCCAGCCACGTTAGCAACGTCAGTCTCAGTTGTGGGGATTGATGCTGGCCCCACTGGAGTTACTAGACTTCCTAACAAATCACATTCTTCGGTTTCGTCGTATCTATTGGAAGCTATGGTTTACTTCGTTCATTGTTGCGACTCTCCAGTATTATCCCGGGGTCAGGATACATCCGCATGTTTATCAAACTGCGAACAGGAGTTGAAGACAGCTTGGCCTGGCATCGAAGTCCTGACTCAATCATGTGCACGGGATGGAGTACTAATACCGTGCTTCGCCGGTCTCAGTCTCACCAAGCTCTTTCGTGTCCAGTTCTCGAGCTTGACGTTTGCCAGATTACGACATAGCCATCCGAGGACCCTCCTGGTAGCAAGTTTCTCTGGGTCGACTAAACGGGTTTTCTGACCAACATGATTTTACTTTCAGCACTCATATTGGCAGCGGTCTTGCCGCCGCCAGCTTACTGTCAATTCGATTGCCGGCCGCCAGGACCAACCGCTCCGCGTCCGACCGATATTGCATCGAACCCAGCATTTCTATCTGCGGCATCAGACCTTACCAAGGTCCTCCAAAGCGCTGTCTCAGGCGACATTGAAGCTGGTTGGCCCGTCGAGAACACGTCCTTCTCGATTGGCTTCATCAGCCGGGATCAAGAAGACAAGAAAACCCCAGTTTGGGAGTTTCACTATCTGGCACCAAACAATGTCAGGGGCACGAAGAACATCACCCGCAACTCGCAGTATCTCATCAACTCCATCACCAAGGTCGTCTCAGACTACATATTGCTCCAAAGCGGTGTCCCTCTCGACGACCCGGTTACGAAGTACATACCCGAACTGGCCACCAACTCAAGTCGGATCAACTGGGACGCGATCACCTTAAAACACTTGGCCACCGGTCTAGCAGGTATTCCGCCCATGTGTAAGTGCAACTTTCCCACATACGACACTCTTTATCGAAGCTGAATGCAGGATTGTAGACGGGTTCTCTGAGATCTATTCCCTAAAACCGTACTTTGAAAGTCTCGGCTTTCCACAAGTCCAGGACGTTGAATACCCACCGTGTGGTGTTGTGGGTTTGAATGCCCCTTGCACAACTTCAGGTGAGTTTCCCTAAGCCGGCACTCGTGGCGAGTCACGATAGTGGGAAACTCGGTCTAACGGGAACTCTGTGTGAATAACCAGAGCTTCTCCATGGTATTTCGGAGCTGCACCCAGTCGCGAAGCCGGGAAGTCGCCCTGTCTACTCCAACCTGGCCTTTTTCCTCTTCACACACGCTCTCGAGATTGCCACCGGGAAGAACTACACCACTCTTCTTCGAGAACTCGTTACCGAGCCTTTGAGAATGAGCAATACAAAAGAGAGTCCGGGAGATGACTCGGAGGCCGTCATCCCTCCGATGGAAAGTCTCTGGGGAAGCCCATACGCTCATAACTTGCCGTACGTCGTCGACGCTTGCGTCTCATCTTGAGTCTCTCATATATTGACACGACAGTGGATAGTGGCTCGGGACTTGTATCGACGCTATCGGATCTCACAGCTTTCTTCCACAGCATTCTCGACCGCTCCATCATGGCCACCGAGACCGCCGTTCTCGAGTGGCTCAAGCCCAGCTCCTTCGCTAGTGGTTCGCCCTACAATTTCGCCGGAATGCCGTGGGAAATCTACCGCGAATACAACCTCACCCCCAAGCATCCGCACAATGTCGACATGTATGGCAAAGGTGGCGGTGCCCCGGGCTATCGGTCTCAGGCCACTGTCATCGACGACTACGGTGTTGCCGTTGTCCTCCTCACAGCGGGTTCCCCGAAGGCTGCCAACTTTATTCACAACGCTGTGCTGAGGATCTTGATTCCTGTCGTGGATCAGATCGCGCGAGACCAAGCAACTGCTTATACCGGAACGTATGTCAGCAGTCCGGGTGAGTCCTTCGACAAGATCAAGGTCGCCATCGCTCAGGATCGAGATTCACTTCTACTCCAACGGCTTGACCGCAACGGTAACGACATGCTTGCGGCCTATCGTGAGCTATTCGTCGCCAACATTGGCGGGACAATCGACGTGCTGCCTACCGTAGCACGCATCTATCCAACCGATATCACCACATCCTCTCCCCGTCTGGAGTTTGACGGCCGCAATGGTTCCGTCGTTCGGGAGGAGTGGCGTATCGACTGGGAGCTCGTTGGACACAATGAGACGGCGCTCCCGGGCATGGAACTGGGCAAGAATCACTGCTGGAACTGGGTGACGGGGGACTGGGTTTACTATGCCTCGGAGTCCATAGATCGAATGAGTTTCGAGAGGGATGCCTCTACGGGAGAGGTGCTGGGAGTAGAAATCCCCGTGTTGAGGAGCGGGTTGTTGAGAAAGGCACCTGTTCAATGCCACAGATAGTCACATTGAATGGCCGGAGGTAGCTGGGGCGTAGTAAGGGACAACCAGGCCGTTGAAGGGTGGTGCCTCTGCATGAAGAGATAGATAGGAACTATATAGAGTCGGCAATCAACATAGTTAATAGCTTCATTACGTGCCTGACCTCGTTGAACAGTCGTATCCGGCCGGTGAACCCTTGCCGCTCTAAGTGTATCATTGGCTCAGATCGGTTTAACGTTAGCACCTCATCTGTAACAGTGAGGCCACGGTATGAACGAGCCAGCAGGGGTTGGTGAGCTTGTGGTCTCGCGGCCAGGAATCTCCTAGGCCGAAAGAGACAAGGTACCGGTTGCGCTCGGAAGCAACGCCTCCACGTCCAGTCAAGACACACCAGCTGCCTTGTACCGACTGTAAATACCTAGGTAGGCAGATCAACTCGGTCATACCTCAATTAAAGGGTAAGGGCTAGGCGTGCCAATTAGCAATAGGATACCGACTTGAACACGGTGACACTAAGCAATCAGTATTAACCATATGCAGATATACGCAGCCATTTTCCGATGAGATCACATTTCTTCGAGCTTGGGTGATGAGAATAGTACACCTTCGCTCATTCGGTCCAGCTACAACAGCTGTTTCTCCTCAGGCTAATTGCTGCGCACAAAGGATATCCCACGAACGAGAATCTCTCCTGCTCTTGTTGACATGTTGCGAAGTGGAGATCTGCTTATCATAACGGGAGGTGCGGGGTGGGAAAGAGGAGCATGCATCATGGTCCTACAGTGGTATGAAACAGGGTGACATTAGATGTCTGCTGCTTTCCCCGTTGGAAGATCATACAGGCGGTGTTCTTTGCCGTAATTGGAAGGTGACTGTTTCTTGCAGATCGACTGCCGGTGGGTCATTGACCCGAGGTATTACGATGAAATCGCCGAGACCTGATCCATTATTCTCGCAATGGGTGCTGTACACAACGTTGAGCGGTGATATTTCGAGAGACATATCTTTAGGGGGGGGGGGGGAGGGTTCTCAAGTCATTCTTACTGAACCATCCGAGCTCATATCGGTGGCCTGCTCACCATGTCGGTGTCTGTACAGACTCGAAGCCTTCTTGGCCACTGCACTGCGGTCCTGTTTATGCTGCTCTTGAACACCTTGCTCGTTGAAGCGCACACCATCCAACTCCCTCGTGCCACCGCTCGGTCCAAAGGCCGTGAGCGCATCAGCCTCAACGAAGGCTGGAAGTTCTCTCGATTCACCTTCAACCCCGATTCCCTGTCATACAGCACCCTAAAACCATGGATTCTCCCGTCAGCCAACGACTTCATCAAGGGTCCCGAGCACCAACCCCCCTCAGGCACCCCGCCTGGCAGGAATGTCACGTATGTTCAAGCATCTTTTGATGACAGCAGCTGGGAGGGGCTCAACCTGCCCCATGATTGGGCCATCAAGGGCCCGTTCAACGCGCCTGGCATCAGTGGCGGCATGGGCCGGTTGCCTACAAACGGCGTGGGATGGTACCGTCGGAAGGTGACTGTGGCGCCTGAGGACAAAGGCAAGTCCATCTTTCTCGACATTGACGGCGCCATGTCATATTCGGCCGTCTGGGTCAATGGCCGCTTGGTGGGTGGATGGCCCTACGGGTACGCGTCGTTCCGTCTGGATCTCACTCAGCATCTGAAAGTTGGTGGCGACAACATGCTGGCCATCCGGCTGGACAATGCCGCCGACAACTCTCGCTGGTACCCTGGAGCAGGCATTTACCGCAACGTGTGGCTCATCAAAACCAGCCCTGCCCATGTTACTCAGTACGGCACGTTCATCACTACACCAGACGTGTCGGACGGCTCCGCAACCGTCAATCTGGCTGTCGAGGTCCAGAACGACGCCTCATCTGACCAGGCGGTGAAAGTGGAAACCGAGATTCGCGTCCTTGACGGAGCCACCGGACAGCCTGGCACGGATGTCGTGGCCAAGTTCAGTCCTGCAACCATCAGAGTTCCGGCAGGCCAGAAGAAGTCCGTCAGCAGCTCGACGCGGGTAAAGAACCCGCGGCTCTGGGGCCCGGCACCAGCCCAGACACCAAACATGTACGTCGCCATGACAACTTTATCGGCCAAGGGAACCATCCTCGACACCTACGAGACTCCTTTCGGCATTCGCTCCGTCAGCTATGACGGCAACAAGGGGGTCTCCATCAACGGAAAACCCGTGCGTATCTGGGGCACCTGCAACCACGGCGACCACGGCGCGCTCGGAGTTGCCTTTAACACGCGGGCCGCCGAGCGCCAGCTATCGATGCTCCAAGAAATGGGCAGCAACTCCTTCCGCACGTCGCACAACCCGCCCACCCCCGAACTCCTCGACTTGGCCGACCGCATGGGCTTCATGGTCGTCGACGAGATCTTTGATGCCTGGAACGTGGCCAAGACGTCGCACGACTTCAGCTCCCTCTTCCCGGACTGGCACGAGCCCGACCTGCGCGCCTTCATCCGCCGCGACCGCAACCACCCGTCCATCATCGCCTGGAGCTTCGGTAACGAGCTCGGCGAGCAATCCGCCGCTGCAGGCGGTGCGACTGCACAATCCCTCAGGGTCATCCTCCTCTCCGAGGACCCGACCCGGCCCACGACAGCCGCCATGAACGTCGCCGGGCCGGGCACGGCCCTGGCCAGCGCTCTCGACATCATCAGCCTCAACTACCAGGGCGAAGGGCATGGCACTTCGACGAACGGCTCCTTCGCCGCTTTCCATGCCGCCTACCCAGACAAAGTCATCTGGTCCAGCGAGAGCGCGTCGACCGTCAGCACGCGCGGCACGTACGTCTTCCCCGTGACAAGCGCCAACTCGGCTATTGTTGGACCGGGGTCGGGGCTTAACGAGTCAGCGCTACAAGTAAGCGCGTATGAACTGTACCATCCCAGCTGGGCGTCGTCGCCTGACAAGGTCTTTGCAGCGCATGATCGGAATCCGTACGTGGCGGGGGAGTTTGTGTGGACCGGGTGGGATTATCTGGGCGAGCCGACGCCCTATGACAGTCCCGCTGGTGTCAGTGGTGGTGCGCGGAGTTCATATTTTGGGATTATTGACCTGGCCGGGTTCAGGAAGGACAGGTTTTATCTTTACCAGGCGCGGTGGAGGCCGGAGCTGCCGGTGGCGCATATCTTGCCGCATTGGACCTGGCCGGAGCGGGTTGGCCTAGAGACGCCGGTGCATGTGTTTTCGTCTGGGGACGAGGCCGAATTGTTTGTCAATGGCAACTCGGCTGGGAGGGTGAAGAGGGGGCAGTATGAGTACCGGTTCAGGTGGAATAAGGTGGTGTATCAGCCTGGGGAGGTGAAGGTGGTGGCGTACAAGGGGGGCAAAGAATGGGCGGTGGATGTGAAGAGGACGGTGGGCGAAGCAAAGGGGCTGAACATGACAGCTGATCGGACGACGATCCGGGGAGATGGGGATGACCTGTCGTTTGTTACCGTGGCGGTGGTCGATGAGAACGGGGACACTGTGCCGCGGGCCAGTAATGCCATCACATTCTCGGTGTCTGGGCCAGGCCAGATTGTGGCCACTGACAACGGCGACCCGGCGGATATGACGGCGTTTCCGTCCTTGACGAGGAAGGCCTTCAGCGGCTTGTCACTGGCTGTTGTCCGGGCTGATAAAGGGGCGTCCGGAGATATCACTGTCTCGGCATCTGCCAGTGGCTTGAAGGGGGCGAGGGTAACTCTAAAGGCGCGCTAGGCCGTAGTACTCCGTGTAGCGTATGGGCCACGGAGTCTGATGCTGCCTGGCCTCTGGAGTTGTGCTGGGGTACTGGTTCGATGCACAGCTTCCAGTACAGCTACTGTGTGCAGGACACACGCCTAAATCTCCAGCACTTATTCCACTGCATGAGCTTCCCCCGACCAGCGTCTCACAGCCATAGACGGTGTTCCTTGATGCATTATCCCTATCTGACAAACAGACAACCTAAGAATCCAGGACTACGCGGCTGAAGTAGATCAAAGGATGTCGCATCTAAGCCCAGCCTGCTGCTCCAGGTCGACGGGCAGGCCCTGCTTATTGGCGAGACGTGCCCGTGTCGTTCGCCACTCTCACGCTGGACTTCACCCGGCCGCGGACCCTCCCCGTCGTACTGTTCCTGCCTGCCACCAATGGAACACGTTGCCGCACGCGCCCTCAAACTAATCGAGCGCGACTGCATCCGGGCTCAACCCGCACCCCCTGGTCGCCCTGCCAGTACGTCGACGGCTCGACTAACATACTCCGGCCCGGCGGCGTTGTACGTGCTTCGCGCCGTGGGCTGCCAAATCGAGTTCTAGCAACATTACCAACGCCGTGGTGTCCTGCGCTTCGCCTCCCTCGTCCGCCATCGCGAAATTCTCCTGCTGGGGTGAAGGATACATACGAGGCGCTGTCCGGTTGGATCGCGAGCACGGTGGTCGTGCAATTTGCTCTGGGTCGTTCACTCTGGCAGGAAGCCGGAAGATATCACGTAACCTCTGAGGCTGACACCTGATACATCCGCCAAGGAGCGCTGTTCCTGCTTCCATTGAATTCATACACCTGGACTTGCAACACGTAAAGAACCCAGGTATGGTCATGTGTCTCCCGTCCTCCGGTCGGCCAAATATCCGTTCGTACCAGCAAGGCATCCTAGCATCCCTTGTTATCGCTTTGTACGGTAGCTCTGTAGAAGCCCTTTGCTTCATTCAGCGGATTATTAACCCGCCTTACTCTCGCCCACTCTCTTCCGCTCGCAATCGCGCAATCTCTTCTCTCCATCGCAGAATAACGTTCGCAAGCCGTCGAGCTTCACAACTTTTCCAGCAATTGCCTCGGTCTTCTATCGCGCACTCCACCGATTCGGCCTATCTCCATTCTGTCAAGGTTCCGCGTGCAGCCCGCACCCGTCGTATCGGCCAGACTCGCACCACTGCCGTGCTGCCACCTGTACAATTGCGCCGGCTGCCCCGCTCATCGGCGTATGTAAAGCTGCCCATCTCTCGTTCAGCACTAACACTGTGCGCCAGATGGGCCGCAGCGAGTTCGAGCGCATCCAGAACAAGGCGAAGTAGCAGCTCGACGACGAAAAGGACACCACAGCGGGCGACATAGAGACCATGGCACTTCAGATGGAATGGCTAAACTGAAGATAGCACAATGAGAGGGCGTATTTCGCGCTTCTCGGCGCACCAGGCAAAGACATCGCCTTTTCCGGCCCCGACGTCGACGAGAATTTTCTCTTCTACCAGCACCAGGACGGCATATGGTCGGTTGCCCACATCACTCGCCACGAGCCTAAAGACGAGGTCCTCCATGTTCGACGGGATCAGCAGTCTGGCCCGTCCTGCCCACGATGACGAAAAGTGGTGCATGCGAGACGACGAGGGGAGGAACGAGCGGATCGGCCGTCCCACTGCCGCAGTCGAGACATGGCTGATTGGTATGGGCAGGTGCATCAACATTCCCTTTTGGGACCGCAGCAAGTTCAGCGATCGGGACGGTAGGTTCGCGGGCATGTTCTCGGGCACGCTGTGGCTCGGATGGGCGTAAGGGGGTCTTAACAAGTGGCCTATGAACCTGACGTGGCAGGGAGGAGAGAATGGAAGCGGCTGAGATCCTACTACGGACGACCCCGACGAGGAGGCGATGTCACGGCACGGCTGGTCAGGTTGGGAAGACCTGGCGGCAGGTGCCAAAGACAGCTCTACAGTGCAGCCTAGCGATTGGATCGTCGGATTCAATCACTTGTACCCTTTTACCGGGAACATGGCTCAGTGATTTGGTTGCACATTGCGCGCCGTGGCAGGCGGAGATGAGCAAGGACGGCGACGACAACCAGCACTGGACGCATGTCCTCTAGCTCCGTACGCATAACGCCCGGTTCGACGAGCTGGCCACAGCGGCAAGATACCTCCTCTTTCGTTCCAGGCACTGGCGCAAAGTCACTGTAAGATGATTCCGGCCGACTTGAATGTCCCGGTAACGCGAACAACACGATCCTCCGTTCCTGATGGAAGAACCTTGTGCACGAGGCACGCGTTTCTAAGCGGCACAGGCCCAGCAGTGCTTCCCCAGCTTCGAAGAGCACGGGCGCCAAGTGGACTGGGGTTAGCGCCTTGGCATACATTGGCGCGGCACGGGGCGCGCCGCCCCAGACCCCTGAAACCCGGAGTTCACATATGTGGGTCTTGTCACCAATGAACTTCTGCCTCTCTCCGGGTTGGTGTTTTCCTGGTCGGCATTTTTGCTCTGGGTTTTTAATCCTTCTTCTCTGTCTCGTCTTGTCTTTTCTTCAGGTGTTCCATCCTCTTCGTATCCGGCTTAGCGGCTCGGTCCGGGGGTTGGAGTGGAAAGGGGGGCGTTGTCGGCCCCCCTGCTTTCTTTTTGGGAGAACAATGTTCATCAGACCAGCAGCTGAACGGAAACAACTCGCTTTCCGCGTCGAGGATCTGCAGCCCGCCTTGGCATGCCAAAGAGAGTTATCGTTGCTCCCAGTGATAAGTTCACTCTAGCTGTACCACTCAGCCACGAAACTACGGCTGGCAGCGGTGGGAAGAAGGTGGCCAGAAGCACTTGAGCTTGCTCTGCCTTGCCCTCTGTGATAGAACCATCAGCTCGGACAAGCGGCGGTATTTTGTCGCCCATCGTGCCACTGCCGGTTTGCAGGTATTTCGCTGCTTGCCAAATGTTCGCATCGTCGGCAAGGAAGTCGTTCCAGTGTGAGCTTTTCTGTCTGCGGATAGCATCGTGGTACTCCTTGGCTGCCGTCCTGGCTCGTTGCTCAAGCTCCAACGATGTTTGCCCCATCCTGCGTCGTGATCTCGCTTGGTTTCTCCAGAAAGTGTAGGTCCGGCGGAGCCGAGTTAGGTCTGTTGTCCACCACCGCTTGGCGTATGGTGACGGTTTGGCTTTGGGTGTCAGGCTGTAGACCGCCTCGGTTACCGCTGCCATGAGCCTGTCTGTCTGCTGCTGGACGCTGC